CCCCAGTTCCCTTATCTCTGCTATCTGTAAATTTTCACTCTTCACACCCTCCTCCGTGAGTGGTTGGTGGGTGCTCTGGTGTGGTTTGCTTCTTCTTTCCTATCAAACATCTTTCGTCTTTATCTCCCCTCCTTCTTTTTCGTGTTTGTTACTCTCTCGTAACACCTCTAATCTTCGGCACTCATATAACCTTATTGTATTGCTAGTGGCGTAAAACACTTACTAAAACTTTAAAAAACACCCTCCTCCTCTCTTTCCCCGCCGCTCCCAAAAAAACGCACAGGTAAACACCCCAACGTCCCAGAAGAGGTGCGTTACATCGGAGCTGCCTTACTACGCCACATCCTGCAGTTGGTCTGTAATGCTCATGCCATCACCAGCCTTCAGGCACAGAGCTGCCGTGGAGAGGACGACTGGGGCAGTGGCGGGGATATGTCCCACAATGCATCTGTTGAAGCCGATTCCTTGCAGAATGTGCAACAGGTCCGCATCGCGACCGCCATCTACCCTACCGCTAGTCTGATGAACCATTCCTGTGATCCCACCATCATTTCCAGGTATATGTGAGGATGTGGAGGGGGGGGAGGGGGGTTCTATTTTTCTTTTTCTTTCTTTTTTTTTTGGGGGGGGGGTCTTTAAATAGGTAGGGTTTCCTCTTTTCTTCTTCTTCTTCTTGCTGCCTTTCCTCCTCCTTCTCTTCCTCCTCCTCCTCCTCCTTCTCCTCTTCACATTCATCCTCCCCCCTCCCCCACTTCCTCCTTTTCCTCCTCCTCCTCCCCTTCTCTAAAGATGTAGTTGTTGAAGCTGATTCCATATAGAGTGTATGACTGGTCCATATCGCAACCGCCATCTACCCCACCGCTAGTCTGATCTGATGTACCATTCCTGTGATCCCACCATCATTTCCAGGTGCACATGTGGATGTGGAGGGGGGAGTTCCTTCTTTTTTCTTTTTCTCTTTTTTTTTTTGTCCGTAGATAGGTAGGATTTCCTCTTTTTTTCTTCTTCTCCTTTGTTACTGCCCTTCCTCCTTCTCCTTCCCCTCCTCCTTCTCCTCTTCCCCTTCGTCATCCCCCACTTTTCCTCTTCCTCCTCCCCTTCTCTAAAGATCACCTTCTTCCTGCCTCCCCCCTCTCTTCCTCCTTCCCCCTTCTCTTCCTCCCTCCCCCTTCTCTTCCTCCCCCCCTCTCTCTCCCTC